CCGCCGCCCCCGCCCACCGCCAGCCCACAGCGCTCACAATCTCGGCGAACAGGAGGAGTCCCTTTCGGGTGCGCCAGTAGCTGGTGCAGGCTGCCCAGCAGCCGGGGGCCGACAGGCGCTCGGAATCCGCCATGGCGTGAACCGGAGTCCCTGGACACGCGGAGGATCTGCTGTCCTGCTCACTGGTTCCAGCACGCTGCACAGCCAGCCGTCTAGCCCGCTGTCTGGCCGAGAAGGGGGCCCCGAGGCGAAGGAGGGAGTGAATCACCGCGCCGAGCAGAAGCGGGCGGGGCCGGAGGGGGCCGGGCCAGGTGGCTGCCGCCCCGGAAGCCCCCTCGCCCCGCCCGCCTAGGACAGTCGGGGCCCAGGGCGCAGCCCCCGGGGCGCCCCATCTCCGAGGTACTGGGCAGCTCCTAGCACCAGGTCCGGGGATAGAGGTCTCGAGAGACCGATTGCAGTTTTCGAACTCCAAAGGGCTGCCTCAAATTAGAACCGCGAGAATCTGGCTTTGGGAGAAAGTCTGCCGGTGCATTTATGGTGTATTACTTAACAGTCTCATTGGTGTCTGGGGTGTTAAAAATATTCCTCAAGGAAAAGCGTGAATGTTCACAGTAAGCGAGATAGATTAAGTATTGAAAATCGCTCCTTCTTAGGTCAGGTCGGTATCAAACTTGAGGGAAGGGGATAGTCTCCAGAGTTTTTTGCACTTTTGAATTGTGGAAAGAAGGTAGTGGAGCACCGGGAGGCTGAGGCAGGACGGTTACGAGTTTGAGGCCATCCTGGACATCTTAGTGAGACCCTGTCTCGGTGGCAGGGCGCTTGCCTAGCATGTGCAAGGCCCTGGGTTCAATAGCCCGCACTAGGAGTTGGGTTGGAGGAGGTGAGTAGAATGTGAATAAACCTCTTAGTGACAAAGATGAGACCATGCTGGTGCAAAGGCCGAACAAGAGCAGGACCTGATAAGCACGCAGCTGCTCTGTAAATAGGGTTAGAAGCCAGGCAGCCCAGGGTCTGATTCTGCCTTCTGCAATTCCAAGCAAGTCCTGACCCTAAGTGCTGGGCCTTGGTTTGCTGGTGCTGACAAGAGCAGCCACTCTACCCATGGATGAGAAATGGGGGAGTACAAGTTTATTGCTGGGCGATTATCAAGATAACGGAATAGGGGCTGGGGATTTAGCTCAGCGGCAAAGCGTCTGCCTGGCAAGCGCAAGGTCGTGAGTTCGGTTCCTGGTACCAGAGAAAAACCAAAAAAAAAAAAAAAAAAAAAAGGGAAGGGCTCTGGGGGAACAAAGGGGGAGAAAAAAAAAAAAAAAAAAAAAAAAAAAAAAAAAAATTTTTTTTTGGTACCAGGAATCAAACTCAGGACTTTGTGCTTGCCAAGCAGGCGCTTGTGCTGCTGAACTATATTCCTGGCCCTGGATGACAAATATTGTTGACATTTGCAGATGAATACACTCTCCAGACTGAATTCTGATTTCATTTGCATCTCATAAGAATGAGAATCAGAGTTGGAAGTCCAGGAGGATCCAATCCTAGGGCCTGTCTGCTCCGCCCCCCACCCCCCCCCACAGCATTCCTCAAAACTAAGGAATAGGTTTACACTTTTAGTCCAGATTGTGAAAGAGTGACTAAATAAATAGTGGAAGGAATGAACCCTGTTTTTTGACTCTATGAGGAATGCCTGCATTTCTGCAATAAGATTAACTTGGCCGCCTCAGGGCCTTTGCACTTGCTGTTATCACTGCTGTCAGTACCTTTCCCTGGTTATCGTTCATCTGGCTTCGGGTCATTCAAACTGCAGCCCTACTTCAAAGAGGCCAGAAACCCAGCACTATGTTGCCCAACATAAACTCCTTTTGCTATCTTCATAAACTCTCACTTCTATCTGAAATTTTTTTACTTATTCATTTTCTTGTCTTTCATGTAGGACATCTGCCTATCCTTACTGCATTAGCTACACAAGGACAGAAATCTGTCATTCTCCAAGCATCTCTGTAGTACTTACTCCAGTACAAGGTATACAGTTGAGGCTCAGTCAAAACTTCTCAAACACAGGTAGAAATCAGGCTTTAAACAGGGCATGGTAGTGGACTCCTGTAATCCCAGCACACAGGAGGCTGAGGCAGGAGGATCAGCATGAGGCCAGCGTAGACTACAGAATCAAGTTCAAGACCAGCCTGTACTACATACCAAGAAGACCCTGCCTCAAAAAAAAAAAAAATCAGGCTTTAATTAAATCTTGCTTCCACTCACCCACCACCTAAAGCTATTTGCACTCTCTGGGCCTCCCTTTTTTTTTTTTTTTTTTTTTTTTTTTTTTTTTTT